ATTATTAAGTGCCATCCAGTCAGTTCCAACTTATACAGGGTTTCCAAGGAGCAACTGGAGAGTTTGAACCACTGAACTTCCCAGGTCCTGTGCAAAGCTCACAATCATTGCTATTTTTGTGCCCATTGGTGCTGCCACTGTGCCAGTCCATCTCATTGGGGACCTTCCTCTTTTTCTCTGACCCTCTATTTTACCAAACACGGTATCCTTATCCAGTGACTGGTCCCTCCTGAAAATGTGTCCAAAGTATGAGAGACAGTGTCTGACCATCCTGGCTTCCAAGGAGCATTCTGACTGCGCATCTTCCAACACAGATTTGTTTGTTCTTTTCGCAGTACATGGTACTTTTAATATTCTCCTCCAACACCATAACTCAAACGCATTAATTCTTCTGTGGTTTTCCTTATTCTCTGTCCAACTTTCACGTGCATATGAGGTTAATGAAAATACCATAGCTTGGGTCAGACACATCTTAATCCTCAAGCTGGCATCTTTGCTCTTGAACACTTTAAAAAGGTCTTGTGCAACAAACTTGCCTACTGCAATACTTTGTCTGATTTCTTGACTGCTGCTTCCATGAGTGTTGTTGGTTGATCCAAGCAAAATGAAATCTTGGACAACTTCAATCTTTTCTCCATTTATATGGATGTTATTTGTTGGTCCAGTGGTGAGGATTTTTGTTTTCTTTACATTGAGGTGCAATCCATACCAAAGGCTGCAGTCTTTGATATCCATCAGTAAGTATTTTAAGTTCTCTTGGCTTCAGTAAGCAAGGTTGTATCATCTGCATATCACAAGTTGTAATGAGTCTTCCTCCAATCCTGACACCATGTTTTTCTTCATATAATCCAGTTTCTCAGATTATTTGCTCAGCATACAGATTGAATAAGTACAGTGAAAGGACACAACCCTGATGCACACCTTTCCTAATTTTAAACCATTCAGTGCTCCTTTGTTCTGTTCAAACAACTGTCTCTTGGTCTAAGTATAGGTTCCTCATGAGCACAAGTAAATTTTCCAGTATACTCATTCTCTGCAATGTTGTCTATAGCTTGTCATGATCTACACAATTGGAAACCTTTGCATAATCAATAAAACATAGGTAGACATCTTTCTGGTATTCTCTGCTTTCAGTCAAGATCCATCTGATGTAAGCAATGATACCCCTTATTTCACATCCTCTTCTGAATCTTGAACCTCTAGAAGTTCTCTGTCAATGTATGGTTGCAGCCGTTTTTAATTATCTTTAGCAAAATTTTGCTTTGCATGAGATATTAATGATATTATCTGATGATTTCTGCATCCCTTTGGGTCACCATCTCTCTTTGGAATGGGCACAAATATGGATCTCTTCCAGTCAATTGGCCAGGTAAGTGTCTTCCAAATTTCTTGGCATAGATGAGTGAGTTCCTCCAGTGCCTCATCAGTTTGTTGAAAGACTTCAATTTGTATTCCATCAACTCCCAGAGCCTTGTTCTTTGCCAATGCCTTCAATGAACCTTGGACTTCTTCCTTTAGTATCATTGGCTTGTGATCATATGCTAACTCTTCAAATGGTTAAACATCAACCATCTCTTTCTGATACAGTGACTGTGTATTACCTCCATCTTCTTTTGATGTTTTCTTCATCATTCAATATTTTTCCCATGTTTTTGTTGTTGTGTGCCATCAAGTTGGTTCCCAGAAGCGACTGGTAAGCTTGAACTGCCAACCTGACAATCCAGCATATTACCCCACAGCACCACACCATGGCTCCATTTTGCCCATAGAATCCTTCAATATTTCAAGTCGAGGCTTGAATTTTTTCTTCAGTTCCCACAGTTTGAAGAACTCTTTTGGTTTTCCAGCTCCAAGTCTGCACATTTTGTTATAATGTTTGACTTTGTCTTCTCAAGATGTCCCTTGAAATTTTCTATTCAGCTCTCTTACCTCCTTATTTCTTCCATTTGATTTAGCATCTCTACTCTGGAGAGCAAGTTTCAGAGTCTCTTCTGACATCCAGGTTGGTCTTTTCCTTTTTTCTTATCTTCTTAATGACCTTTTGCTTTCTTCCTGTGTGATATTCTGGATGTCATCCCACAACTCTTCTGGTCTTTGGTCATTAGTGTCTAATGCATCAAATCTGTTTTTGAAGTAATCTCTAAATTTAGATGAGATATGTTCAAGGTCATATTTTGACTCTTGTGGACTTATTTTAATCTT